TGGAACATATTCTGTGTTACTTGAAAGGAACTCCCGGTCGTGGTATTGTCTATTCAAATCACGGTCACATGAACATTGAAAGTTATGCAGATGCAGATTATGCAGGGTCGAAGGATGATCGTTGGTCCACCTCCAGTTATTGTGTCTTTGTGGGTGAGAATCTGATTTCGTGGAAGAGCAAGAAGCAGAACGTTGTCTCTCGTTCTAGTGCTGAGTCTGAATATAGAGCCATGGCACAAGCTGCGTGTGAAATAATATGGATATATCACCTCCTCAATGAAACTGGTTTCAAAGCTCCCATCCCTGCGAAACTATGGTGTGATAACCAAGCTGCTCTTCATATTGCATCCAAACCAGTTTTTCACGAAAGGACGAAACATATTGAAGTAGATTGTCACTTTGTTCGGGAGAAAATACAGAAGGGATTGATTTCTACTGGATTTGTGAAGACAGGAGATCAATTAGCAGATCTCCTTACTAAAGCGCTAAATGGCACCAGGCTTATGTATTTATGTAACAAGTTGGGCATGATAAATATATATGCTCCAACTTGAGGGGGAGTGTTATTAGTAATAATATTAGTATTTTAGTTAAGTCCTGAGAATATGGCAGGATCTGATTTGGCCATTAATATGGGTGATTTAGGCATTAATATGGGAGATATAGTTTCCTTATATTAGCACCCTTCTTATGTATATATATAGTCATTTTGTAATATGTAATTATGTATTATGAGGAAAACCTCTGATTATCAGTCACAGATATTTTTAATGCTAATGTTGATCACCCTGCAGCTTGCACGATAAAAAGATGGTCAAACTCAAGTCGCCAAACTTCCATGTATCGAGGACTCGGCTAATTATGTACAATCTTCCTAAATCAATGACCGAAAAAGAGCTTAAGAAACTCTGCTTAGATGCAGTTACTTCTCGAGCTACTAAGCAAAAGCCTATGATCAGGCAGGTCAGTAATGGTTACTCCCTCCATTCTGCAATTAACTTCACTCTTTCCATTTCCACCCGCCCCAAAATAAACTGTACACTTCACCTTTTCCTTTTCACGAATTTAATATGTGCCCTAAAACATTTTTCTTTTCTAAACAAATTCCAACCATGTATTTTTTCAACACTTTTCTTGAATGCCTTGAAGTCAAAACATCAAATTAGTCATGGGATAGAGGGAGTAGATTTTTAGTCTTGTTATTCATCTATAGCTTTGAAATGTAGGCTTAGTTAGGGAATATTGTTTGTGAATAGCGTTAGCGCTTTGGATAATTTTTTAATGGTGCAGTTTGACGTAAAAACACTAATGCTAAAAGCTACAATTGGATAACGTTTTCAAAACGTTAAGCTAATCCCAAACATAGGCGTACTCATTCTTTCTCTAAAATGCAGATAAAAATTTTGGGTGATACTAAAAAGGGTAAATTGGAAGCGAAGAATCATTCTCGTGGAGTTGCCTTTGTTGAGTTCACCGAGCACCAACATGCACTTGTGGCTCTCAGAGTTCTAAATAATAATCCTGGTAACACTTCTATACACTACATTACTAAAGAAATGCTAATATATGTGAATATGTCACAATTTAGAAGGTACTTTATCTGTTTTTAAGTAACTACCCATTTGAAAACAAATGCAGTACAAAAAACATTGTAAAAAAAACTAATTTGTGCCCCATATGTAGTTGACTTTTGCTTGTTTGTTTAGATATCTAGGAATTAATAGTTATGATTGTTAATTTCTAACAATACTAAGGGCCACATTAGAACCACATGTATTTAAAAATGGAGAGTCTTATTATAAGGCATTTTACCACTTCAATGAAGCATTTCTAATTATTATCTAATTAATTAATTAATTCTGACTGTGTCTTTGCTATAGACTTACTCTATGTGATCTTGGGTTCATTGTCAAGGCAATAATAATTACTGTGGGTATTATTGGTAGTCTAAGTTTGACAGACTTGGAGTTCTATAATTACTTTTATTGGTCCGTGTACTCTTTTATATCTAGGACTAGAGCAAGCATAGATTTTGCTTTATTTAGGGTTCTTGTTGAGGACGTTTTTGTTTGTTTATTGTTTTTTTATTCTCAAATTTTTCAACTGGGGGAGTGAACCAAAGCTGAAGTGTACAATGATGACATGTTTTCCAGGGACTTTTGGACCAGAACATCGTCCAATTGTGGAGTTTTCTCTTGATAACGTCCATACTTTGTTGCGTCGTAAAGAGATGAATCAAGTTCAGGCCAACGGTTCTCATCATCATGATAAGACCGAAATGTCAAGAAAACACAAACCCAACGGGGGGGATGTTTCATCCGGAGTGGACAAAAGTGTGAATTTCCCCCCAAAGATGCAAAAACAAATGAAAATGGCGACAGGCTCAAACGAGGAGGTGCCAAAAGAGAAGAAAGAAAAGGGAGGAATGCTCGGCGAACTTAGACCACCTCGTCCTATTAAGAGTGCCCCTAAGCCTTTATTACCCCCCCAATTGGAGACGAGACTAATAACAAGAGACCAAAGGGGGGGAGACCGGCGACGGATAAGACCGTTTTGGAGAAAGGAATAGAAAACTCAAGGGGAGAAAAAAGACGAAAAAAGAACGTGAATTCGACGGGACACGAAGTGATGGTGGACAAGCTAGACATGCTCATTGAACAATACAGGTTCACTAAGGTCAGTTCTGATAAAACAGATGGTAACAAAAGACAGCTTAGGAGGTGGTTCCAATCATAATAATCCAAGTTGCCTTTTTGGGTCGTGTGATTACATTTTTTTTGTATGTTGATTGCAATTTTTTCCGAAAGATAAGTGGTTTCACCTTAAACTTTGTAAAACCAAACTATAGATCTCTTTTAAGAAAGTATTCTACTCCTTTTTGTCGTATGACCATTATTATGCTCCCTTTCAATACTCGGTTCTCCAAAATTCTTTCTATTTTGTTTTTACGTGTAAAATTCTATCTCTTTTAAAATGATTTTTTTTAGAAATTGGTATAAAAATAAAAAAGTAAAAGTTACATATTTAAAATCTACATAAAAAGTTATATAAAATAAGTTCATTTTATCAAATGATTAATAAAAAGTCACACCCAAACAAAAACTATCGACCACTCTTAAATACTCCTTCCATCCCATTTTATATTACCTATTTTGACTTTGGAGCATATTTAAGGAAGGGAAAAAATGGTGTTGACTTTTCAAAAATGCCTTACTTTTTTTACGGGGGTGGCGATGAATGAGAAGATGAGGTGGAGAGGGATGACTTATTTTAGAGTAGTTTAAGTATTTTATCCTTAAAAATTTATTATTATAAGAAACAGACAAGTTATTTTGGGACGAACAAAAAAGAAAAATAGGCAATTTAAAATGGGACGGAGGGAGTAGTAAACATGAAGGCTTTTGGTGTACGCAGTGAGTATATTTTGTACTTCATAATATTCTCTTTTTTCAGGCTCAAATGTTAGCAAATCAAGCATTTTTCTCAACTTATTTTATGAAGTATGGGATTGAACTTTTACACATTAGAACAATATACATACATTAGCACGGTATGCGCCAACAAGACGGGACATGGTATTACAGACTACAAAATTGCCCACACAATAGACTTGATCACGAATTCCGGTATTCGATCTGCCTGTAAAACCCGTCCATAAAATAATGGGTTTGGACTTGACATTTTGGGGTACAAGTTAGGCTCAGGCTTTATAAACGCTAACCCGTGTACTTTAGGACCGAACTCGGGCTTTATACTAAAGCTAACGTGTCAGCCCAACCTAAATGGATGATCAAATTCATTATTACTATAATTACAAGGGGGTGTTCCCATGATGGCATTTTTTGAACCATTACATTGTGAATCATGTTTTGTTTTCAAGTCCTTTTGTTTACGTTTTGATTGTCTAAACACAAGGTCAATGTGCCCTTTAATTTAATACATTAGGATGTTTGGGGTCTAACCTCAGTTACCTCTGTTAGTGGTTTTTTATTACATCTCTTTCATTGATGCTTTTAGTAAATTTAATGGCTTTATTCACTAAAACACAAGTCATAAGCTTACTCTATTTCTGTTAGTTTTGAAAAAATAATTAAAACATCAATTTAACTCTAATACTCAGATTTTTTGAAGTAACAATGAGAAAAAATTTGTGAATAATACGTTTGGTCTTTTTTTCTTCTAAAATTTAGGCATTCTCCATCACACATCGTGTCTCTACACACGTAAGTTGTCGCAGAACGTAAACATCATCATCTTATTGAGATTGTTGTTTCTCTTCTCTACGACTCCAATTTACCCACCTCCTTCTGGGTTGATGCTCTTGTTATTGTTAATTATCTTATTAATTGTGTATCAACAAAAATCATGTCCAATAAATATCCTTTTGAGGTTCTCTACAATCATCCTCCGAAGTATGCTCATTTACGCTCTTTTGGCCGTATTACTTACCCATGATTTCAACCTCACACACAATACAAACTACAGCCTTGTTCCACACTGTGTGTTTTCCTTAGGTTTCTACCCACCATCAAAGGATATAAATATTATGATCTCGTTTCTCAAAGACATGTCTCTTGTCATGCTAAGTTTGTAGCGGACTGGTTTTCATATTCTAGGCTCTCATCCACTTCGTCGTCTTTCAATATCACACTCATTTTTCTAGCTCGTCCAAGCTCACATGCTCAAGTGCCACCAACACACATTGTGCCCCAAACGGTCAATCACATCGACCGTTCCTCAGGTCGCCCATTCCTCAAGTCACGGTTGATCTTCCGACACCCCCGCGCAGAATCGCAGATCCATGGTCACATTCGACTGTTGGCCACGGTCTCCATTGAAACCTTGCAGGTCTAGACCCTGGACTGTCCCTCCCCCATGGTCGATCGTCCAACCACCTGCCACCCAATTCCTTCTCAAACCACCACTAACACTCATTCCATGCAAACATGTGCCAAATTTGGTAAATTCAAGCCGGAAATATATACAATTACCATTCTTGATAATACCCCTCTTAATAGTAAGCCAAACACCTATAACCAATCCTCCAAGAATAATTTTTGGTGTCAGGTTATGGATGGGGAATTTATAACTCTAGATGAATAGCTTACTTGGGATTTGGTACCATTGCCAAAAAAATCGCATTCCAATTGGTTGTAAGTGGTGTATCGCATTAAACTCTAGATGAACGCTGATGAGTTTGTTTTACGTATAAAGCTCATCTTGTGCCCAAAGGTTATCATAAAGAATATGACATTAATTACATAGAGATATTCAGTCTCGTTGTCAAACAGCAAATGGTACGCCTTTATATATTCTTGGCTCTTCATTAGCTGGATGTAGGTTATGTCTTTCTACATGGTATTATGGACAAAGACATTTTTATGGAGCAACCGCCGGATAACATAAGCCCAGCCCATGGCGACACACGCACTCTGTTTGTGAGTTGCGGAAGTTTTTGTATGACCTCAAGCAGGTGCCACATGCAAGATGGTACACACGTCTCTCATCTTTTTCGCAGGGTCTTGGTTTACGTTATTGTGCGAATGACACCAGTTTGTTTACTCGCCATTGCTCTTGAGGAATGAGGAACAATCGTCATCTTAGTCGATGTTGATGATATTGTCATTATGGGAAGTTCTGCGGTCGTAATTTATGAAATTACTCAAGATATACATCGAAACTTTTGGCTGAAAGAACAAGCAAAAAAGCGAAAAAGAAACTCTCCGCCCCCACTCCAATCGCCAACACTCTCCGAGAAAAAAATTAGCAAACGTGCTCTTAAGTTTGTTCGTCCTACAACAAAGATATGTCTCTCTAATTCTAGCGGCTATCCTCACAAAATTACTTTTACAGGCTTCATTCCAGTCATGTTCTCCAAGCTTCTCCTTGTAACCGGTGATCAACTTGCGAGGGGATATTACAAATAATAGGAAACAAATATTATTATTAAAACTTTTCTTATTCTATTATTTATATAATTGTTATTCTACTGATTATGTCTCTCTTGTATGCTCTATATATATATGAATGAAACCTTCATTATTCAATAAAATAAATTATTATCAAATTGAATCAAAGTTTCTAAAATTATTTTGAAGAATAAATTAATTGTGTACGAAGTGTTTAAAAATTTTAAAAAAAGAATAAAACCAAATAAATTTTATAAAGCTAAGGCACAAAACTCTCTTATTTTACGAGAACTAAAAATACATTGGGTTAAATATACTTTTAGTCCCTATAAAGTAAGTGATTCTTGTCTTTGGTCTCTGTAAAAAACATCTGTTTAATTCATCCTTACATTTTTTTTTTATTTTAAGTGATATTTACACGTAACTAAAACTTTTATTTATTGGGGTAACACATTTATTTCATAGTTAACCTTCTAGTTTTTCACTTATAATTATCTAAGACACAATTCTCATGTCTTAAATATGTCTTTCATTGAACTACATCTTCAATTTTTTTATTGATTTTTATTTTCAAGAAATTTAGAAATGAAGATGTAATATAAATAAGAACACAATTTAGGACATAATTTATGTCTAAGGTAATTAGAGATGCAAAACTAGGTTGTTGGGTACCAAATAAATCTGTTATCACAATAAATTAGAAGTTTTTATTACGTTTAAATAACATTTTTAAAATAGAAAATTTTGTAAAGATGAATTAAATAAAAATACTTGATGGGAAGTAAAAAAATGAATTGTTTTATATGACTAAAAACATAATTTAAAAAAATTAATCTATTTTAAAATTTTCTAAATTGTTATCTGAAACGTTATTCATAATAAGTTTTATTTTTCAGTTTTAACACATTTTTTATTTCAAATCGACATGGAGGAGGATAATTATGATGCATTCAAGATATTTTCTTTATTTTTGTAATTAATTATCAACTCATACTTAATAATTATCCAGTAAGCATTTGCATTTAAAATATCACATATTCAATTTAATTGAGTATTTAAATAAAATTGAGTAATTTCTAGAAACAATGGCGTAGTTTATTTAATTTTGGAGTGTTATCTTAAAATCACAAATTTCATTAATATGAATTTTTCAAAATCATTTTTAACAATGGTTTGAATTTCGTTCTTGGGAACTGCCCTCACTCCTCAGTCCTCCCTCCCATCCACACTCTGAACAATCACGCCGCCCGCAAGGCGTACGGCGAGGACGATGATATCGTCGTCAGTGATGATACGGCGGTTTTGCTGCTTCAGCTCCGCCTCTTCACCTAGTACTACTATCGCCGCGAAATCCATTCCTGAGAAGAATCGTCTTGTCTTCTTGGGTTCCCCTCAGGTAGAGGCTTTACCTCACTAGCTATAACTCCATACATCATCGGTATATGTATGAACTCGCTTGTAATGCGTCTCACAGGTATGTGTCTCCGTTCTCGACGCTTTATTAGATGCAGCTGCGGCGCCTGATTCATCCTTTGAGGTATTGGTCACACATTTTTTTCAATTATATACGAATACAACCAGTTCAATTGGGTTCGGGTTATTGTTCACTATGGATATCTCTCAATTTAACCATTAATTCAATGAACTAGTTGAATTTTTCAAGCTAATTTTGCTTGTATTGTAGTGATGCTACTACTAGTTCATAGAGAACCTATCTACTTTTGCACCTAAAAATTGTTAGGCCCCCACTCCAAACAAATCGAAAGAAAAGGAAAAAAAAGGAGCACACAATTTTTAACGTGGTTCGGCACCTCAAGACCTACTCCACGACCCCCTCTGGGATAAAATCTCACTAGTAATTTTTGCACGGAAAAATTACAAACCCTCTTCAATATTTGACACTCACAACCTAAAATCTAATACACAATTATATAGATTGAAGGATTGTGTTGTGTGATGGAAGCATATATCTCCTCTTTATTTATAGGCTCCAATCCCTCCTCAATTTTCCTATCCCACCGATGTGGGACTTTGAAGTAACACTCAACAAATCTCCCCTTAATTCAAAGTCCTACATCATTTGCGATTTCTGCAGCGATACTCCCATCCTGCAGAATCTTCTATCCAGCAGTACTCTTATCTTCAGAGGAGATCATCTTCATAAGTGATCACATTTGCGAAAGAAGCTTCCTTCGATTTGCCCTTCTTCTCCTTTAGGATCTGCAAGTCCTCCTTGAGTTCTGGACAACCGTTCTTCGTGTGACCCAACTTTTCACAGTAATAGCACCTAACAGTGCTCATGTCTCTCAGCTGAGATCTTCTCCCAAGTTGGTCACTCTTCTTCTTCCTCCCTTTCTCAACACTCACAGCAGCTAGTAAATGACTGTCCCCGGAAGACTCTTCACCTCCCATCATCCTTTGACTCTCCTTCAAGGCAGTCGTCACCTCATCTAGTCGCAGTGTAGTCCTTCCTGCTATCATTGACTGCACAAACGGCTTAAAGGATTTTGGTAGTGAAGCCAGTAGAAG